CCCCCCCCGGGGGGGGGGGGGGGGGGCATAACACCCAACCGTATATCGACGCTTGTCACGTAGCGCTCTAGGGATTTTAGCACTTCCTAGCTTAAGTGCTGGTTGCATTGTGTCGTCGGGAGCATTTACAATGCCGATAATCTCCTTCGTGCCGTAATCTGCTTTATCGACCGGTCCATTTGTAATCAAGTAAAGTTCCGGCCGGTTGCTCGATTTTCCTTTCTTTAACTGCATCTAACCCAACCTAACCTTATCTGCGTCAGGCTCCACTCTATTGCACATAGGGGCCTCCTCCATCTGGCATCCTATACCACTTCTGTTTCCGGTCTTCGAGATACCAACTAAAATCGGCTGGTCGTGGCTGGGCGCGCTGTGGACTATACCTATAGTCAGTTCTCGTTAATAGCACAGAAGGGACACAGTCGAATAATCCTAGAGGGATAACCGAGTTATCGGAGTTTTATCGAGTTTCCCGCACGGCGGAACGCCGGATTCAACGTTACGTATTTTCCCTCTCTTTCTGTTACCTGCAACAGTTATATACTACCCTCCTTCTCTTACCTAAGGTTGCGCGTGTCTGCCATACTTTAGTAAAATTACCCGTATGGCCTACGGGGATCTTTAAGAACCACCCTTAAGAATTTAAAAAAAATTAATATTTTCAGTTTGCTATGGCCTTCTGAATTGCACGAAATTATTTCTACGTTATTTTGACAGATCGCCACTTCAAAAAAAATTGTAATCGACATTTTTTCATAGGGGGTCAATATTCATTGTCGGGCTGACTTTTCTGAACTTACGGAACTCTTGACTCTTCGAAGCTGTCACTGATGTCAAAGGTGGAGTAAGGTTGAATTTTTGAAATTTTTTTTTTTTTCGAAAAATCAATGGACTCTATGAATATCCTCGTATGGCAGGAAGGTTTGCCATAGAAAATGTGCTGCTCCGGTGATGGTGCTAGTGCCAGTGGTGGATCGAGTATGACTCGCTGTGGGGTTGTTTGCGGACTGGCAGCCCTTGCAGCCCTTACTACGGCCCTTCTAGGACCTGCCTGGTTACATACCGAGGAGAAGCTTTTGCTGCCACACTTGCCGCAGCACCTGGCATCTTCGGTCACCGTGCGATTCAAGCTGGGACTGTTTAGGGCCTGTCCCAGGATCGTCAAGCCTGCCAACTTGACAGTCCGTGAGTATAAATAAGAATACTCTTTATGACTTCTTTTTTTATCACTGTCAATTTTAATTTTATCATTTTTGTTTTTGTAGCCTTCACTGTTTTTTTAGGTTGTGCTACCCACTCGGAATATTCTTTATTACATTAAGGTATAACGGTGGTTTACGAGGACGTCTGCTGTCCGTCTTGACGATGATAATCTCTTTTTATTTTCTCCGCGTATCTCTGGGATATTATTGTTACTGCGGGACCTACCCCTCTCCCTCCCCTCTTCGCCCTCTCTTGGTTCCCTCGTAAAAAGATACTTTTCCTATCTCTCGAAAAACCTCTTGGCCGATGCTATCCACGAGCCGAAGTACTTCTTCCTTTACCCTGGACCACCTACCCACCTCACCGGACCCCGAGGGTAGTTTCTTCGCGTTGACACTACAGGCGAAAGGGTAGGGTCAAAGACAGAAGGTCAAAGGTTAGAAATCCTAGTGAGGAACCGATAAGAGTAAATAGACAAGGGCGGTCGAAGGACTTTTCACGGGACCAAGATAATCGACGGGTCAGCAAAGTTAAGACGTCGCGACGCTTTCTTGGACAGACGCTATAAATCCTCGATCAAGGTAGAGATTCCTTGTCTAAGGAATTTTTTTTTGTTAATTTAATTCCTACTTCAGTCATCCGAGTATTGTACCGCGCGACGCCGGATCTTCAGTCTCTGATGTCACGTCCGGTTATCCAAGATTGCCCAAGAGGATCGAAGAAGTGCTTGATAGCGATCGATGGTTGGCTCATTAAAGCAAAACGATGCAAGAGGGTTAAACACTGGTAAAATTGCTGGTTACTTCAAACCGGAAGTCCAGAGCCCGTGCTGGAGGATAACGGTGGTTGCGGGGGTCTGCTAACCGGAAGTCTTCAACAGTGTACAAACTATCCGGGAGGAGAAGTCGGGCGGCTGGCCACGTATAAAAAAGTTGACAAACGACGCGACGATATTATAAAACAATTGATAGATGATCCGATAGCGGGACGCTGGCTCGATGCCCCCTGCGGTCTCCGTAGTCTGGCACTGGTCTGACTTCTATCTTCTTCGTCTCTTGGTTCCCCTACTTTCGGTGCTGCCATCTACGATAAGTCGTCTCGCCAATGAAGACAAATTGTTCAGGGCTACCTCGCCGTCCTCTTCTTGGAAGGTTATTAATTCTTGTCAAGAGTGCCCGAAGAATTAAAACGACGGATTCTACACTGTCTCGTCTTCTATTTAGCTTTTATTACATTTTCCATCTCTGCTACTGCTATTCCTTATCTTCTTTTTCATTTCTTTTTCACTCTTATTGACTTCTTCACTGCGCAGTCACGCGTCTTGCTGGTCGAGGGACCCGGTCGCTCTTTTAATACTGGTCACTGTCAACCAGCTTATACCCTGTTCGATGAGAGGACCAGATAGGGATGCTGTAGGACGAAGCCTAGATACACAATAGGATCATGTTAATTGATGAAAGTAAAATGGAAACTAAAGAAAGTCGGCACTAGGACCAAGCGTCGTTTCAGATGATCCAACCTGGTCTGACAACTTCAATCCTGACACCTTCGATCCCACTGTATGGGTAAACGGTTTTTTTTCAAAATCTCAAAAGCGTCCAAAGTACTCGAAATCAGACGGAAAAAATTTCTGCAGACGCTCAACATTATCTTTTTGGAATTCCCATCAGGATTTCAGGGTTGTCGTTGAGAATGAAAAAAATCGTCTGCCTCACGAGTCGAGCTAACACGTGGCTTGCGTGTTGTTATTCTCGAGGGGGCGGTATGGTGGGGTAGCGTCGGGACGCTTCTACAATACCATAAAAAAAGGGCTAAGAGCGCCCCAGAGAGAAGAAGAGAGAATGAGATGGTGGTAGTGGAAAAAAAAAAAATTGAAAATATTTCTTGCTTCCATTTTACCGATCAGCTACCAGTCAACTCCGACAATGGTGCTCCTCCAGGAGGTGGTCCAAACGGAAGAACCAGTTAACATGGAGATTATATACCCTGCTGTATTTACGCTATACGGCTAAGCCCGACCCACGGCACCTCCACCGTACTACCCAGCATTAACATAACATTAGCTGTTTGCATTAATCTGGAATACATCAAGCGTCCCACCCTACTCTTTTCATCCCTTACTTACCCCCCGATCCCTACCTTACCGACACCTCCTTGACAACCTCCACAACCGGAGGAGCTTCTGCTCGCAGAGCACCGTATACGCGTATGTTTACACCAACCCCTATGCACAGCTATAGCCACTATTCCACCCCTATCCGCCGTTATCATCTATCCCGACGTCGCGACGCTAAAGCGACGGCAGTCTGAAAGCGGTCGAAATGAAATTTTCCGAAAAACAAAAGAAACGCTTCCACTCCTTCCCAACACTTTTTTTGTTCATCTGCCCCCATATACACACACTCGTACTTACCCCCCCGACATTTCCTCAGCTTCCGGTCGACATTAAACCCTTTTTTTTCTTTCTTTATTACGTATTCAAAATTGTTCGCATTACAGTGTTTGAGCATCTCGGAAGAATGTGGAATTTTTTCAGATTCCCTTTGTTGTATACATATGTATGTATACGTATATGCTATATTGTTGTTTTTACTTCCAGAGCAGCATACCCTAAGCATTCGGTATATACCGTTTGCCGAAGCGGAAATTATGGATATACCGTTTATTTAGGGGTTCGCGGGGGAAACTCGCGAGATTTACGCAAGTTGTTTCAGTCGGAGAAATTCCAAGGGTTGGTAGCGTTGGATGACTGGCTACTGTAAGGCTTGGTACTGTTATTGGGGTGGGAGGTCAGGGGTGAAATGGAGTTTCGTTCCCCATTTGTGGCAATGCTTCCACCCCTCGATCACCCCCTCCGTCCGGCAGCAGAAGTCAATTCCGCAGGTTTGGCACGAGTCCTGGGTATAAATTGTGCCGCGCGTTAATTCCGCATCCGCGCCGGTCGAGCGAGTAACTAGTACATAGTATCTGAGGATTCGAATATAAAAAGGAAATTCCATGGTATAAATCCTGACGGTGGATGCTGGTTTAGGCAAAACGTCGGGTATGCCAATGAGTTCCCATGACGGTTCCAACTGGTACAACCAAACCTCGCAGCATCCCCTGGACCAGACCTCGGATAATAATGAGGTTATTTGTAATTCCAACGGCTGATCAAATCTTCCTAATTTCCGGAATCTGCCACTTAAAATTCCGTCGGTGAACGCGAAGCGACGCTTATCGGGGCGGCGTCGCAGCGGCCCGAAGTCCGGGGCGTCGGTTGCATTATTTACTCCTGCCCGATCCTCGAAATGTTAAACAATCGTCCCTGCCGTATTAATTACGAATAAATTTCGTCTCGGCCCAGCAGGAAACGTTCGAATGTGTTTATACCGGGTGGACGTGTTTCTCCAATTCAAAATGACGCCGTTTTATCTTCATTTTACCTAACCGAAATACAGTCCCCAGCAAGGGGGTTCAGATGTACCAACAGGCCTGTTGTCATTTTACCAGAGTATCTTTTCAGCTGCTCCACACGCGACCTCATCCTCCCCTTTGCATACAGACGCTGGACCATGTTCATCCAGGTGTATTTTCTATTTTCTTTTTGGGTTTCCAGACCTGGAAAGACCCAAACAATTGAATCCCACCACTGGGGTTATGGCAGATGCTGAAGTCGTTGACCAATCATACATCTGGGTATCTTTTATCCCTTTGGTCTAGCCCGGATGATTCTATGCGCGACACCAGTCATCCTCCACCTCGTCCATCTTCAAGATCCTCGGCTTTTCTAAAGACGCTCCCAGGGCGCGAAAGAGCGTCAAGCTTACAAATGGATCGAATGGAATCTGGAGCAATTATGGAACCCGAGATACTCGCATCGCAAGCGGCAAACATTCACGGAAAGTTTTGTAATTCAAGTCGGTAACGAGTCTCGCTGGGAGCGTCGTCGTCGTCGCGACGCAACCTTGACGCAAGCCGTCTTGGGTAACCAAACCTAAGCTCCTATAGCCACGTACTTAATTCTCCACTTTTTAACTCAAATAATGGACACCTATCGCGCATGCTCCGAATCAGGGTTCCATAACAGGTTAAAAAATTACAAAATTTACTAAACTAACCCTAGTCTGTCGTATTCGCTTCATGTTTAAATGCTCACACCAAGCGACGATATTTTATATACGCGATATATATTATATATGTATATGCATTAATCTCGATACTAAATGGATTTCTATAAATTATTGGTTCTACCTAGAACTATGCATATTTTCATACCAAACCCGCCCTGTTATTCTGTTATGACCCAGAAGCCTGTTTTCGGGTGCACCTCAAGCTTTACCCACTGTGGATAGGTGGGCAGGGTCCTAAGTGGTAAGATGAATAGGTGAATGGTTACTGGATAGGCGAATAGGTCAATAGATGAACACTAGGTGAATAGGTATACCCTTTATAATTTTATCCACCTGCTACTCTGTACTGGTTGGTCCAACAAGAACTGCGTAATACATAGATGGACCATCGGGGCAATGTTATCTTAGAGGGGCGTCCGTAGTCATCTCTCGTATTCTTTAGAATATAAAATTGCGAAAACCCAAGACTCGAACATCCACATGGAAACTCGCAATTCCATATCCTCAGCGAGTCCAAATGTCTTCGGTCTATTTCCAATGGAGTCGAGAAAAGTTGAGACGGCACTCGAATGTGTTTACTCGGCACATAACGTTCCTATAGATTCGCAGTTTGCCGCGATAATACTCAACCGACTTTATGGAGTTGACTGTATATACATATATATATATATGTATTTAAAAGAAATTTGTCTGGACCACGGATGCTGGAAATTTTTATATAATCCATTTCCCCTATATCCTATCCTCGCTGGCTCAAAGCTCAACTAGATTTACACCATGGAACACTGACAACTTAAAATTTCGAGATAACTATGCCACCAGGCAGTTGGTACGCCTGGAACGTCGGCACTGGATAAAAATGGAATTTCA